GTTATGGAAAATATCAGACTACCATGAGCCTATCGCCCATCTGGAACAATTATCAGCTCATGGCTAGTCTTGCTTTATCAATACCCCAATCCATCCATCCCCCTTCCTATTATTTTAAAGCAAATCCTAGGTATCGTACTATTCATCTGCAAATATTTCAGTTTATATCACTAAAAAATAAGAATTTTCTCCTTTTTTAAACTTAACCATTGATATCATTAGCACACCTAAAAAGTTACCAAATCATTCCTAAAAATCACCAAATATCCCACCTGTGTACAAGTTTGCAATTATCAATGCTTAAAAAAGATTTTTACAGTTTGTTTGAATCCACATCTTGCAATAGGGTAATATGTCTCATAAAGTCTCTATTATTCTGTGGTTTCCCCTCCATCTCTTTTTCTTTTTCTAAGTAATTCATTTGTATTAGAAAGTGGTCCCCTTTTCCTGTAGAGTTTCTCATAATCTGCGTCACTTCACATGTTCCTCTGTCTCTCTATTTTATAAAAATTGGTACTTGGATCTAGTTCACCAGTATCCAGTTCAATTTATTTGGGGGTGGGTGGAACAAAATTTTATTTCATTGAGATCTTCCATCAGGAGGCACATAATGCAGAGGGGCATCTTTTTATGATTTTAGCAGCCATTGATGATTAATGTATAGATTCATTAAGGATTACAAAATAGTGATGTTGTAATTCTGTCATTCCTTCTTCATTTATCAGCTGAAATATTTCTATAAAGAAAAACTCCTACTGTTTGGTATAATTCATGTCAGAAAGGCAGGATTAAAGTTTGATTCCTTTTCTTTATTCACAAATTTTCAAAATAATATATTGGTTTCATATCACCTTCCAGTGGTGATTAATATTTTTAAGTGTCATTATAGACTTAAGGATTTAAACATATTTGATATATTTCATATCCTTGATGCTAACATTATCTCTCTGTTGGCCAGTGGGAACCTCCTAAATTGCCTCTTGAGTAATTTACCAAGAGCCTTGACTTGAAGTCAGCTGAAGTTGTGTTCTGGCAGGGCCCTGGGCTGATCAAGAGATGGGAACACTGAATTGTTGGGCCCTGGGCTGATCAAAACAGAAGGCTTATTTTAACCAGCCCCAC